AACATGTCAGCTGCCGGTGACCACCAGGGGCAACTCTGGGCTGGTCTACCGGAACCTTGGACAATCCAGTGTGCCCTGAGAACGAGATATGTGCAGCTCCTATCGGGATTTGTCGGCACATTCGGGTGGCTTTGCGGGTCTTGTTTTACCATTGTCGAGGATGTCTTGTAACCGGGATGCCGAGTTTGATCGGAATGTCTTGGGAGAAGGAATATCCTTTGTTGACCGTGAGAGCTTGTGATGGGCTAAGTTGGGACACCCCTGCAAGGATTTGAACTTTCGAAAGTCGTGCCCGTGGTTATGGGCAGATGGGAATTTGTTAATGTCCGGTTGTAGAAAACCTGAAGTTTATCTTAATTAAAATACATCAACCGCGTGTGTTACCATGATGGTCTCTTCTCGGCGGGGTCCGGGAAGTGAACACGGTGTTGGAGTAATGCTTGATGTAGGTTGTTCTAGGATCACTTCTTGATCATAGTTTCTCGAACGTGCTTTGCCTTCTCTTCTCGCTCTCATTTGCGTATGTTAGCCACCATATATGCTCGCTTGCTGCAGCTCCACCTCATACCTTTACCTTACCTATAAGCTTAAATAGTCTTGATCGCGAGGGTGTCAGATTGCTGAGTCTCCGTGACTCACAGATACTTCCAAAACCAGTTTGCAGGTGCCGTTGAACCACGCAGGTGACGCAACCAAGCTCAAAGGAGGAGCTCAATGAAGATATTGTTCTTTGTGTTGTTTCGATTGAGTTGATCAGTAGTGGAGCCCAGTAGGGGTTGATCGGGGATCTGTGTAGCATTTGGGGTAGTCTTCTTTTATTTTGGTTCCGTAGTCGGACCTTGATTATATTTGGTTGAATGTAATGCGTTATTCATGTAATTGTGTGAAGTGGCGATTGTAAGCCAACTATGTATCTCTTTCCCTTATGTATTACATGGGTTGTGTGAAGATTACCTCACTTGCGACATTGCTTTCAATGCGGTTATGCCTCTAAGTCGTTCTTCGACACGTGGGAGATATAGCCGTATCGAGGGCGTTACATAGACGCATAGGTCAGGAACCCCCTACTTTAGATCCGCCGGTTTTGACACCGACAGGGAGTCCGTGGACACTGATTCAGGGGCCGACTATCCAACGTTGTCTGCATACATTTTAATAATTGTTGGAACTAACCGGAAGAAATTCATGTAAACACGGTGGATTTCATATAAACCGGACCGCCCTGCAAACCAATACAGGTCCACGTGGATGGCACAACACGTCCAGATAACATGATAAGGGTGTACACGGGCGGTTTGAGGGTTGTAGTTGGAGATGCCTTTATATAGTTTTGTTGGTGTTTGGCTGACAGGAGTTTCAACCCTTTATTTGAGGTGGCCTGGTAGTTGTGTAGTGTTTTCTGTTTTAGTTCTTCTGAACCATGTGTCTTTCATAATGAAAATCGAGGAGGCAACCCTTTTGTTAATTAAAAGAAATTCTTTTTTTTTGAGAGTACGACAATGGCGTACCATATTTTGATAGAAGGCAAAAGTTTAATGTGTACAGGATACCGTCATCGGATGCGAACATCATGTCGGCAAACACCCACACCAACAAAAACACAAGGTCACTCTCTCACAAACGGGTCTAAACCACCAACACCTAGCCCTGCTGCCATCCATTCTTTGATCTCCTCACGTACCTGTACCACCAGTTGCGTAGGGGTTCTTTGCTGATGAGGATTGTTGAACACTCTCGTGTTACATTGCTTCCAAAGAGCCCAAGCCGTTCCAATAACGAAGGAGTCAAAACCTCTCCTGGTCCTTCTCGAGAAGTTCTTCCTGCTCCTCATCCACCAGTCCGTAAACTTTATGTCTAAGTTCGGAGGCTCATTTTTAGTTGGAAAGCCTCAAAACACCGATGCCAAACCTCCCTCGCAAACACACAATATGCAAGGGTATGGTCAAGATTGTCTTCGTCATGTAGGCAAGAGAAACAGACCGACGGTTCCTGCTGCAGTCCGTGGCGTGCTCTGCGATCGCTAGTCCATAGACGGTATTGTACCATGAGCCAAGCGAAAATCTTGCATGTCAATGGAGCCCAGCTCCTCCAAATGGTCATGGTCGTAGGTTACTCTATCAATCCCATGCATAAGCGGTTATAGACAAACCATGCGGAGTGGCGCCCCAATCCATCCGCTGGCCAAAGAAATTGGTCTCTCTCTCCTTTGCTTCTTGATCCCATCACCGGGCTGGTTCCCACGACTGCCGCGCTTCCTACTGCTTTTGTTGCGCCGCTGTCGTCCCCTACGGTGGACTCCCTGAGCTCGACCGCCTCGCCTCTGCCCGTGCCTGTTGCTGGCCTGGAGGTGCATGGACCTGTTCTGCTACCTGATGCTGGCCTGGAGCCCGCGGCTGCTGTCATGCTACCTGAAGATGGACTGGAGCCCGTGCATGGAGTTGGCCTAGGGCCCATGCATGTAAACGTGTTTGTTGATGGCCTGGAGCCCGTGCATGGAGGTGGCCTAGGGCCCGTGCATGTAAGTGTGTTGCCATGTGCTGACTTGGCGCATAAAAACGTGCTGCCACCTGATGACTTGGTGGTTGGGTTGCTCCCTGTTGGGCCTGTGGTGGCTCGCCCGGTTACCTTCAATGGGTCGTCTGTTGCTGTTGTTCTGCTGCCCGGCGACGCCCACGCTAAGTTGCTCGCCGATGATCCCGCTGCGCTGGCCGTCATGGCAGCACCTGAAGACGGACCGCTTCGTCCAGCTACTGTGGACACGTTCCTCGACTCCGTCGCCAACTACGCCGACGCTCCGCTGCTGCCCACTCCAGCTCCACGCAAGGCCAAGGCTGCTGTAGCGGTTACTCGTTGCAGCACCCGCCTTGACAAGAAGAAGGCTCTGCTCCCGCCGGGCGCCGGCTCGGACGCGG